GCCCATGGCCCACCAAGCCTTCCATCCCTCTGGGGTCTGCAAATTGGTGCCAGACTTGTCTGGAGGGTTAACAGCACTCGCTCGATACTTTGGTAGGCCTCCACGAGTTATTGTAGAAGGTCAGGTATGCATCCAATCACCTCCAACGATACTTAATGAAGTCGAATGCATGGCGCATCCATCAGGCATTGATCAACGCCGGGAGCTTCAACCTTTATTTTTTTTTATAGTGAATAACAGTTATAGTATAGAGGCTGAGGACATAAAACATACTGCGGTAGAGACCATAGGTATGAAACACTTCCAAATGCTGACAGCAATGTGTTTGCATCAAGGACCAAAGTAAATGCTAAGGTAAGTAGCATTACGCATCCCACTTTATACCCATAGAGCGTTAAAAAAGAGCCTTATCGACAACTCATTTTTGTTCGTAACCAACGAAACCCTCTGGTCATTAAAAAATTGAAAAGTCCATAACCTGTATCTCCTGTCGTCTCGTTGATCATAGAGTTACTCAGGCGGACTCCGCTAAAATTTCCACTGCTCTCTGCTGCATATAAGAGTGGCTCAGTGGGTTCTTCTCGCTCTAAAAAATTTTGAGCACCATGTCTTTCTTCCACGGTTTTCGTGAAAAACTCTAACCATCATGTCGGTGCTCTTCCTCTTCGGTGCTGTCGGTGTTCGCTTGACATCCCGAGGAATCCAGTTCCTAACGGTTGCTCTCTATCCATTATCGTTAATAAGCACAAAATTTCGGGCTTATAGTTTGAAAATTTGTTGTATAGAACGGCGTTTTTTGGTTTTTGATCTTGAAGTAGATCGGAGTTGCCGATCCCTTTCTCACTTGCGTGCGTGACAGGGATACTCTAACGTCGTCCTTTCAACAGCTCGTTCTACAAAGCTAATGTCTCTTTCATCCCACCTAGAATGCGACCGTTTCTGACACTTACGTTAAGGCAGGAAGAATTATGGAGTCAAAAAGGTAGACGTGGAGTCGGGTGCTTTTTGTTCTTTTCACTACATCCTCTATGGTCTTCGAAACTCACCATACCACTGACTTTCTCCTGCTCAACTCTAGAGCTATGGGGACCCAATGCTTTCCCATAAAGATCATTTTTGTAGGATTTAGTCGAAAACCGATCTTTCCACAAGCGTTGTCAAAGTTGGCCAGAATTTGTTCAGCCTGGCTAATCCTCGATGTTATAAAAGCGGTGCCATCACTAAAGCAAAGATGGTGAAATTGCCATTCACTCCCATGTTGTCTCATTCCAATGTTCGCATGACGTTCTCGAGAGTGGTAGCAAATAATTTCAGCACGATGGCATCGCCCTGCCTACCACTCTTTTGGTTAATATCGTTGTATAATAATGATATGATGGTTATGAAATCTTTATGGAGTTCATGAAGATCATTTATACACTCAGTAGGCACTTCCTGACTATCCAGGGCTTCCATGATTGTTTCTATCCTAATTAAATCAAAAGCTTTCCTTGAACCAGTGAAAGTGAGACAGTGCGGCATCTTGGACTATCGCAATACTTCAATGAGTCTTCTCATCGCATGGGTGTGGTCCATCGAGTTAACCCTTTTCGAAGCCCTGCTTGCTTACATCGTTGTCGTTCACCCAATGTTCTGTCAATGTTGTTTAGGATGATTGGAGCGAAAAATTTGTAAACAACAAACAGTAAGGAGACTGGGCAATACTTGCCGATCGTGGAGATCACCTTTCTTGACAAAAGCACAATTTTACTGATTTTCCACTAGGTAGGAATTCGAATGAATCAAGGGCCTTTGGTAAATCGATGAAGGTGAGACAGAGCGGTTTTTTGCACTTTCGTGATACTTCTATCAGCCTTGTTATTGTGTGGATGTATTCCATCGTATTAAATCGTTTTCGAAACCCTGCTTGCTCACTTGGTTATCCTTCGTCTAGTGTTCTGTCAATCTTGTTTAGGATGACTCGAGTGAAAAGTTTGTAGACGACAGACAGTCAGTAGATTGAGTGATAGTTGCCGATATCGTGTAGCTCACCCTTCTTGAACAATAACCCGGTCTTGCTGGTCTTCTACTGAGTAGGAAACTTGCATCCAGACAGGTAAGGTGTGAAGAGCTGAGCCAGTATGTTAACGAGGGCTGGCGGAAGATTTTTCAGGTGTTCAGTTCCTACGCTCTCCGGACTTGATGATGTTCGATTTTTCCCCGCCGAAATAGCATGGCGAATTCCGGAAGGGAGAACCGGTGGCGCGACATATCATATTCGTCCTCCTTTATTTCGTGTGAGGAAACGAGGAAGTGGTTATTGAAAAGATATAAGTAACAATCGTAAACGATTTTATCTATTATCTTTCTGGAAGCCGTAACTGATCCGTTTGAGCATCGGAGTGCAATCATCTTGGCTTTACAATTGAATAAGCTTCGATGGGCTTTGCGAGTGTATTTCTCACCCACTGCAGCTTCGGTAATACTGCTGCTCTACTCTTTTTAAGTTCTTCTTTTATTGTCTGTTTGCACTGCTTTGCAAGTTCGTACGCGAGATAGCCGTTGCCTGCAGCTTGCGCGACTTCACACTGGCGATTTGCTCCAGTATATCTGCAGACAGACGTTTCATTGTGGCTTTCGAGTTGTCAGTTTTCATAGGGCTATTCCTTATCGATGTTATGAAGGACGAAATCTTTCCAACAACAAACTAATAAACTTAGTAAATTCCGATCTCTTCGAGACTTCGGTTTTTTAATTTGTAGGTTTTCCTTCTTTTTACGATCCTCTTTGCATGCATGATCGCGTCCTCTGTCAACGACTCAGATGCAATCGAGCGTCTGTTCTAGGCACAAATCGTCACCTTAGTGTTTTGAGATTTAGCCAGAATAGAACAGACTACCGTTTTGTTTATTGAAAGCCTTCCAGTTATTCGGTGGGGAGCAGGAGCACAGAGAGGAGACTTATGCTACATGGGTGAGCAATGTTCTCGGCTCAGGTCAGAGTATGAGCCTGAAGTATGGCGCTTGGTCACGCATGATCACTATTCACTCTTCTTTTTGTTTTATTTTTGAATTTTTGGAGTAGCTCTAAAACAATTCAGGGGTTCAAAATTTTTTCCGTTATGTTTCGATGTCCTATGCGTGGCCAGTTGAGTGTTTTTCTTTCCAATTTAAATTTGCTGTTCAAGTATACGGCCTCAGAGTGGTCTACCCGTTCCACCAATTTATTCGTCCACACACGCTTTGCAACCGATCAGGTACACCGTACACGAACTCATACAATCATCTTCTCTACCGTTAAAATATATTATGCAACTTTTCGTTGTACATAGGCGGTCAAATAAGGGTTACCAATTAAACCTATAGTAGAGTAATGGCTGGAGAATGATTACTGGTGCCTCTACCTTAGAAATAAAGGCAATGGCAAGGGTTGGTGTCAGTCGCTATCCCACTGCCATCCTTTTAATTTGTACTTAATATTTTTTGAACCATCTGAAGGCTGAGCAGTTTAGAAACACCTTTAGGAGAACATAACCTGATGCATCGAGAAACAGCACATTTTTATTACTTTTCATGTTGTTCAAGAATCTCACGGACGGTTTACATTGCGGAGTCATTCGACACGTTAGTGTATAGGACGTAAAGTCGAAGGACTCCATAGCATATGTGCTGCTGGGACGTGTGTTACGCAGGCGATCCATAAACATTTGGGTATTGCTGAGGTCGGCTGGTATGTGCTTCAGCAACTGGCTTCAGGTTCAGGCTTCAGGAGAATCAGGTTCGTAAACCAAGCTATTCTATCCGTGTTCTCGCCTGCACAACTGGTATTGGATCTAACCTTAAAGGTTGAGGAGTTGGTAGACGACAGATTATTGGTGGATACTAGATTATGAGTTTCGATAAGCATGTGAAAGATGGGATATGTTGACATTTCGATCTTAAGATGCGGAATAACTGATTGTTTTAAAGCTGCCGCGCTTGCCATTTTGACCCGCTCCTTGTTCAATTCTCGATGTTGACCTCTGAATTCCTTTTCAGATGGCGAGCGATAAGACAATCGTTTTCAGGACGTTTTCCCTATTTTCCCAACATCTAACTGAGAGGGAATTACTACAAGCTTTCGAAGCTTACCACTACCTGGTAGTCTGTTTTTGATTTTATTAGTTTCCGAACCTGTCGCACACCACATTTTTGCGCTGTGATAAGGTCGGAACTAAACTTTCTGTCGCAACAGTGGTTAACAATGTTGAGTTTCTTCGAAAACATGCGAAAATTCGTATCTACTTCGACGTTGGGATCTTGTTGTCTAAAGAACGTTCGGAGGAAAGGAGGTGGTGGTAACTCCCCTACTTTTTGTTGTTCATTCCTATTTAGCGTCTCAATTCCAGCTTTGTTACAATCTTTGTTACAATCAATCTTGAAGCTCATGCAGATTGCATGCGTTTCTACGCAAAGTTTCTTTAGAAATAGATTTCACAGGTGAGAAACTTGTACCCAATTCTAATGGCGAGCGCGTATCGGTGCTGATGAGAGTCAGTAAGATTGCACGTCAATTCGACCTTCTCAGGCTATTATGATGGCGAAGCCGCCGAAACGTCAGCTATTATGTACCAAGTAAATATTGTATTACTAACCTCGTGTTTGTTCATCACGAAAATGGCGAATAACTGAACAATGTACCGAGCTTAAAAAAGTCGATCTTGGAATTTGCTACGGAGCAAATGCTATTTGGCAATCCAGAAAGTTTATTTACACGTTTAAATTCACTAACAAGTCCATTACAAAGGTTAAATATTAGCCATGAGGTGATGAGAAAATTGATTCATCAGTAGAAAGGGTTCCTGTCCAAACCAATCATACTACTTTGCGTTATGGATACGGTAACATGCTGGTACAAATATGGTATGAAATGTGGAAATATCCATGAAAGAAAGTATTTTTAAAAGGCTAAAAATAGAATCCTTACAGTTTAGCGAGTTCTGGATTGGTTTCCATGAACCCCTACAACAACGTTATCGAATTTCACAATCCTACGGCGTAGTTGAAATCTCGTGCCCTGCGATCTACGGCAGCAATAAGTCGACCATTGGGAAGACGTTGACGTATAGCCATTGCAATTCGATCCATATGAGCAAAATTGTCCTGCTTTAACGGAAAACAGCTGATGCCTTTCTTTTCCATCTCTTTCAAAAACTTCTGAAAAGTGAATTGAAGTAGATTCAAGATGGGAAACTGAAGCCATATGTAACTTGTAAATATGAAAGGTGGGACAGCTTCGATAAATTCGCAAGCTTCTCTGTTGCTTCACAATTGATTGTAGCATTTAATGGTTAACGAAGAAAAAATTAGAAAAAAAGCTATAACATTTTCCCCAAGTAAAAAAGCCTTGGATAGATGGAGTAGTCGAGTTAAACGACAGAAAGAGTTCTCAAGTAATGCCAAAAAAAAAATAGAACAATTTAGTATGGAATTTCTACTGAACTGAATACGGCCCTTGAAAACTGGTCTGTTTCCTGCATATTTCAACGTCATTTTTGCTACCTGTGTATAAATATCTGCATTTTTCTGGCTTTATTATACCTTTAATAAGAGCCTCCCAACGGTTTACCGCCTCATCGTGGCTGGGAGGTGTTCCTGGGTGTCGGACTGCGTTGTACAGCGGGGATTCATCCCTTGGCAGGGTCTCCTAAGCTGAGAAGGAGTCCGGCGTTTTCACCAGGAAGCCCAGCTAAGAGTAAACCAATACCAGGACCCACCAGCGTCTTGGTATCAAAGTCGCATTGCGGTAAATCTTTCTCCGATCAACAAGCGCTGCGACTGCCCATGGTGGTGAGGACCTGGGGCACACTTTGGCCAGGTTGACCTCGGGACTCCAGGGAACCATAATGGCTTAACCAGCAAATCTCCGAAAAATGGAGATTATGCTGTGGCCCGCACAACCAGTGAGAACGGGTCATTCAAGTATCAAGTATCAAATTAATAACGAGCTATACTTTCACGAAGCGCAATGGTTAGAGCTGCGCTGCGATACACAGATGGCTATTGGCTCGCCGCCATGGTACGGGCTCACCAAAGCTTTCATTTCTCCGGGATTAGCAGATTGGTCCTAGACGTATCCTGAAGGAGAACAACAGAGTTAATACATTGGCAGACCATCGTCAATCATTAGCCCAGATTTACACTCAGTCACTGTTAACGATGCTTGATGGAGTCGAATGAGAAACGGTTCCTTCAATGGTTGATCAAGGTGGTAAGCTTTACTTCTTTTAAATCGCATTCAGTTACAGAGCGGTGATCGTGAAGCTTTTATTATTATTTCATTATTGTGTTATTTTATTAATAGCATACTTACTGCTATAACATTAGTATTATGTTGTTACTTTATTTTTCTGCCTTTGTTTCTCCTTTGTTTCTTTTATTTTATTTTTGTTACTATTATTTTTACTTTTATCACTATTGTTTATTTAGTTGTTGTTTATTATTAAGATGATTGGAGTGCAAGCTCAGAGATAAACTTTATTAGAACATGTTTATTTTTATGATCTTATAAACTGATCTTCTTTAGCTGATGCGAGGTTGGTATAGGTCTTCGTTGTTGGTCTTTTGTCCAACTCGTAACATCACGGCTCTGAGGAAGGCGAAATCGCCGAAACGTCAGCCATCGACCAACAACACCGACAACAGCGAAAACGACAACAAAGACCTATACCAACCTCGCATCAGCTGAAGAAGATCAGCTTATAAGATCATATAAATAAATATATCCACTATCTATGCCGAGGTTTATAGAAAGTCGGTTTTTTGGGTTCATTAGGACAGTAGTCCTACCAAACATTTCACGATCCTAATCTGGAATCATTAATGACCTGCTCTTGAGTTGAACTCAGATCTCAGAGAAATGATTGCAAAGATGATTTTCGCCAATGAGAATAAACCAGTTCGGCCTACAGGTTATGAAATGGTGGAGAATGGATACAGCATTTTCGTTATCAGTTTCTTATCATGGTACATACCATTTTTGTTTAACAATGCTTTTACAAGAACTCCAACAACTCTTCCTCTTTGTGAACTCTCTGTAATATCACTCCATTTTCTATTGTTGCGTCTTTTGTTGAAGAAATGTCTTACAGCTTTTATTAAGAGTTGTGTAAGAATTGCATCGCTCAAATAAACTTCGAAATTGCTTCTCTTGTAAAAGAACATGCTGAAAGTCTTCGAAATACCACTGAAACTCTGTTACAAAATCCGTGTGGATTCAAATTGGTTCACAAATGATTTGTTCTGCGAAAGCTCCCTTAATGCACCAATGAATATGTATTCACTAAGGGTTTGTGGACCGCGACCTTCCCGATTGTCTTATGTTCTCATTTTTCTTGAAGATTAAATCGACATTAGTTACCTAGGAACTGTGGTTCTGCCAGGACGGCTGCAATTTCAGAATATAATTTACTCTACGAGCCTAAGCAGGAAAACATCGAGCGTTTGGAAAGACTGAATGATTGGGAACCTATCTTGCTATAAGTAGGGATAGGACATAAATAGAGGACTGAATGATACCTCGTCATTATTCTCGCAGTAAAATCTTGGATCCTCTGTATCATAGAAGGAAGCGTTCGCGTGTATGGCCGCTCCTGGTTCCTCGTCGAACATCAGCATTCGGAGTATCACAGAAGCAACTGCTTCAACAGTGCGAAGTGAACCGGACGCCGAAGCGACAATGATTGGCTAAACCATTAATCATATCTGAGCAGTATACTAGTCGGTAACAATTCTCTGTAGCTCACAGCGTTATTTGCAACCTTATCGATCACCATGAGCCCAGCAGCGGAACTCAACAACTTCGGTACATTACTGAAAGAATGAATTAAATTAACTCATAGATCTATTTATAATACAAAAAATGGAATAAAAGGAAGTAAAATGAGTGCCCACTTGGTGGAATTTATTCCAAGGTTAATCATGAGAATTGTTTCGTAACTTCTCGACCGCCAAATGATTCCAGTCGCAACACGCTCATATATGGCCTTAAAATCAATAAAAATCATAGGCATTAAGAATGAAAATGGCAAAGTATGAAGTACGACGAAAATCATGCTGAGAAGTTTGCAAAACTCAGGCTCTTTGGCCTTATTCGAACCATCGATCATCGTTTCCATGGGCTCACGTGTTACTCACTGCACCACCGAGGCTTTTGTTTTCCTAATTGTTTAGTTAGTAATTTTAATATTAATTATGTTTTGTGCCAGCTTGTCGAAATTAACCACTCATAATAATGATTTTCATCGTGAGTCAAATTTCTTGAGATATCAAGAACTCAAGTAAGAACGATTGTGGGCCAACATGGCGTTGAAATTCCTTGCGTACGTAAAGTATTTCTCTCCTTACAGCACTTTGCGCAATTGGTTAGTGGTAAGATTTTTTGTTAACAACTTCACAGAAATGCTTAATCTTTGGTGCTAGCTGCGTGGGATGAATTCTAACCGTTCAAAATTTGCAAGATGATTGAAGCGAATGCATAACAGCCAAGTGCTTTCTTCCAGTGCAGTGCCATCAAAGGTTCCTTTCACTGATGAGAGTGTTCTATGTTATCCTATTCGTAGAAAAAACTAAGAAATCGAAATAAAGCACAAGCACTTGTATTTGTGCACTAGAAATGTTTTAGCCCTTCCGGATGAGCAAAGCTCTATGTCGTTCTCTTAGGGCACAACCCAAAACACTGACATTGGAATCACGAAGACGATTAAACTCGTCCCAAAAGCTGATTTCATAGTTTTTTGTCTCAACAGCAGATATTCCTAGAAAGCAATCTTTGTAGAAATGAGGTTAATGAAATGAGGTCCTCCATCTGCTCACGCTGAAAGCGAGACATAGTTGGAAATGCCTTAACTCGGCGTTCGGGATCGTGTGTAATGAATGAGTCATCAAAAAGTATGGTACAGTCTTTGTATGACAACTTATTTCTGATAATTTCTGAAAGCGACAATAGATTTTTACGTATTATTGTTCGAACGCGAAGAGATCACCTGCCCTGGACTCACCCGCATAACTGTGAAATGAGGTCGCTCACGTTTAGGAATATTAGTCACTGCTAGCGATATGTTTGACTCCAAAAGTAACATTGGCAACTGAAATTGTGTGGTCGTAATCATAACAATTCCAAGTAGTATAATATCTGCACAGGAACATTCTGGAAAACGTCGCACTATATTGTAAGAATGGTGTGGCCCAAATCCTAGCTGTATGGATTATTCAGTGGTGAAAACTTAGTACAGTCAAAGACCAATGGCCATATCATATCTCCTAAGATTTCGTTATGATAGAAATTATAGCCCTTCATGCAAATAGACAACCATTATTGAATTGAAGCTCTTTATGCACCACCGCAAGAACTTCTCTTCCTGTTCGTTTGTACTCACGTTAGCTCATGGCGTTTTCCTTCACTGTTATGAGCAATTGTGCTTAGGTTTATGTCAACAGCTCACACACCCAAAACATACGTATTTCTGATCTCGATAAAGTTTCGACACTTTTTTCATCATACCGGAATTAAGAATTTGGGCTTAACACAACTTCATTGACGAAAATATTCTGTTTTAATTCGATGTTTTTCCTCAATAAGCAGACACGAGGCTGTTATCATAGGATTTGTTAGGATACAATAGCTGACGTTTCGGCGGTTTCGCCTTCTTCAGAGTCTGGAAAAGTCAAATTGAGATGCGATCTACCCAGCCAAACGCTTTCGTAAACCCAGTAGATAAAACTTAACGAATAAATTTGCATTCGCATAAGAAACAGCTTCATTCAAACACCTATCGTTTATTCCTTGTAAGTATTTAAGCTAGTTGATGGATAGCCGCCGCACAAAGTAATACATGGGCGATAACTGTGTCTGCGTCAGGTCTTTGGATCAGTCTGAGGAACGGCGCCAGGTCACGCATGATGACAAGACATTCCTCCTTGCGATTCACTTATGAATTTTTGGCATTGATCCATAACGCTTCGAGAGTTTTACGCGCTGTTGTTTTCGATTCCTACGTGAGGATAGTGCCTCCTACCTCAAAATCTTCTCCATTGTGTTCCTGCATCCTATGCACGCCTAGTGGAGTATTTTGTTTTAATTCAGATTTACCGACTAGGTGTTCTCTTATGCGGACGCAGAGCGGTCTACCCGTTTCGCCAACGTATTCGTCCCCGCACGCTTTACAAGAGATCAGATAGACTGTGTCCGAAACTCATGAAACTGACGCGCCAAATAGCCATTTCAAATGGTTACGGAATTGTAGCTTCTCGGCATAAGCATAGAGGAAAAACCACGCCCTAGAGCGATAATTCCAGCGAAAACAAGACTCCTTCCTCTTGCTCTTTATTTCAGACCAAATAAGTGCAATCATAAAACGTTCCTTAATAAGGGCGGGTCTAGAGAATTTCGTAAGAGTGATAGAAATACCATCGGACACTCCATGACGCCAGCTAGTTCGCAACCGCCTATACGACCGTCTGTGTACAACAAAAACTGCATAATTTGCCCTAACGGTAGAGATGGTAACTGCATGAGTTCGGGTACAGTCTATCTGATCTCTTGTAAAGCGTGCGGGGACGAATACGTCGGCGAAACGGGTAGACCGCTCTGCGTCCGCATAAGAGAACACCTAGTCGGTAAATCTGAATTAAAACAAAATACTCCACTAGGCGTGCATAGGATGCAGGAACACAATGGAGAAGATTTTGAGGTAGGAGGCACTATCCTCACGTAGGAATCGAAAACATCAGTGCGTAAAACTCTCGAAGCGTTATGGATCAATGCCAAAGATTCATAAGTGAATCGCAAGGAGGAATGTCTTGTCATCACGCGTGACCTGGCGCCATACCTCAGACTGATCCAAAGACCCGACACAGACACAGATATCGCCCATGTATTACTTTGTGCGGCGGCTATCCATCAACTAACTTAAATACTTACAGCAAATAAACGATAGGTGTTTGAATGAAGCTGTTTCTTATGCGAATACAAATTTATTTGTTAAGTTTTATCTGCTGGGTTTACGAAAGTGTTTGGCTGGGTAGATCGCATCTCAATTTGACTTTTCCAGGCTCTGAAGAAGGCGAAACCGCCGAAACGTCAGCTATTGTATTCTAATAAATTCTATAATAACAACCTCGTGTCTGCTTATTGAAGAGAAACATCGAATTATCAAAGAAAGTCGGTCGTGGGAATTATTCAGTTTTAATCTGCTTTCGTTGGTGAAAAGGTGAATTAGAAGACCAGTTCACTGTTTTATCCAGTTCTCATCCCCATTAAAAAGCCACCAGCGCACTGAAACAAGCCCGTCTCGCTCTGTTTAAATTTGACACCGAAATACTCTTTTCCCATTTCTTTACTCTTTGCTTACAACAACTGTAATTCTTCAATGGCTTTAATGTAATGACGATGTACTGGTAACCCCGGCTGCAGCCCAAAAACCTCTTATTTCTTTGCAAAGCTTCCAAATGCTTTCCAACCTTTGTCGATCTATCCAATGCTGTTGCATCTTGTTGTTCGGCAATTAACTGTTCTGCATAATGATGTGCATGTAGTAAAAGTGCGTAAAATCCGGCATCCATATAACCGCGTTCGAGATTATTTCGCAGCATAATCTCTGAAATTAGACACCGGACAGTCTCAGGTATCAGAAGTGATTGTTTTCCTCATCTAACAGCTTAGTTTTGCTGCTCACAGCTCAATTCTGGCAAAAAATAAAGGATATTGGTCTGCTTCTCTAATGCACCATGCATTCGAGTCCACTCCTAGCATCGTAGAGATGGTCGCGTGCATACCTGGCTCACATTATGACTTACAAGTACGTATCAATGCGTCTAAGCTAGTTAGCATTTTTGTCCTCACAGATTAGTGCTGCATTAGTTTACCCACGCGAAGAATAGGAGGCTTGTTTGTTTAAGGGTGCGAACCAAGAACCATGCGTATTTCACGGCACCTCTAACCCTTACACTGCCCAACTAAGTAATTATAATTTTTTAAACATGATCCGACATCGAAAATGTTAAGCAGACTTTAGCACTCCTTTTAATTGATTTATTCCTTTTCATCCATAATTCACAAAACCTTTCGCATTTCCGTGTTAGTTCAGCTGCTGCTTGAGGAATTTGATCTTCTTCATGGATGTTTAGTGGTGGCCAAGTTGATTCTCGCTTGGAACTCTGGGAAAGTTGCGCTTCCAGATCTTTACCACAGGCAATTACCAGCTTTTCTAAACCGGAAGGAGCTCTTCGAGCACATGTGCGGTACCCTCTACCAATGTCGAAAGGATGCAAGACGTGGTTATCGAGTCTCAAGCCAGTGTTTTTTCATCCGAGAATCCTTATTGAAAGAAAAAAAGTGGAATTTAATTAAACACGTAGTATGTTTAAAAAATGGCCTTCTACGGTTTTCTTCTGCTTATTAAACACATCTCAAAGTTGCTGCAACAGTATTCGTCACGAGGTACAGTATCTACTATTTTATTGAACGATCTTATAAGGATTTTTGCGTTGGAATGGGCTATGGTAACCTGGTTACCAATGTGGTAATTGACAACAATCTGAACCACTGATTCTCTATTCAATACGAATCCGCTCCCAGAACTACATGCCTGCCGTCACATGCTGTATCCAATTTCAGATGTTGTTAACCGAATAAAAAAACTGTCTCGAAATATAACAAGGTATGACCACGTCCATCTAAAAGTTATGAAAAAGAATTGAGAATTAGTCTGGGAGTTTTTAGCTCGCTGAACATATTTCACACCGTACTCATTACCTAAGACATCGAGAACCACTTAGATAGAAGACAAGGATTTCGGAAGTCAAAAAAAAACTCAAAAATGATATCCTGGAGTACTTCTCCGTTCCATATAAATGCGTTTAGCTGTAATGAGCGTGCTCGAATCAGATCAAGAGTGGAATTCCTTACAAGGACTCTGGTCTATTCCGTGAACGCTATCTCTTGGCCCTAAGCTATTGCAATAGTTCGGAAAATTTTTTGTAGTTAACATTTTTTCTCCAACATAACAGACGGTAATCGGCACTTGTGTTCGTAGCCGACAAATTAAGTATGAACAGGAGTGAACAGAGACTTGATGCCGCTTTTGCATTGGCAGTACCAAATGGTACTGCCTAAGAAATTTTCACCTACTCTTCAAATCATCCCTTCAAACCATCTCTCCATCAACTATAGCTAAATGTCGCTTATTATAGCACTATATAAGCAGTTTCCTCAGATAACCGGCGTTGGTTCTTTCTGCCAGGGTTCTTACAATATCCTTCCTGGTGCTGACGCTTGTGGTCTTTACCTCTATGTATATTGTCGAGACGTTAACATTGTGCTGGTATTTACGCTGTAAATAGATCCAACACAAATTTGAGGTTGCATTCTATGACAGCACACGAAAAACTCCCGTATGCCACATTCATAAAAAGGCGAGGAGTCAACTCGAGTTAGTAGCTCTGACAACTAACTATTCAAACAATTTATTTTTTGGTAAATATATTTATCAAAAAAAAATATTCAAACAATGTTAACTTTTTATTTACTGCCTAATACAGTTGTTCACAGTAGGGTAATGCGTATGATACAACCGCAGTGATGCTGAGATATTTGCGAAACTCCAGGCTGCAGGGGTCTGCAGTGTGGAACGAACACGCTACTGCCCTTTCCGGAAGATAACGCGTTCGCCACCACACCATGAGAGCTCTTCGTTTAGCGGCCTCTCAGGTACTTCTATCGATCAGTGCCATCAGCGATCACTCGTCAAGCACATCGTTTCCCACCGCAGACACCTACGGTCCGGAGTTTTGCAAATATCTCAGTATCATTGTGGTTATTGAAACTATATTTCTATCACTGTGAACGCCAACACATTTATTAGTGCATTGGCTATTTGACCTGCCAGCTTCACATTTAACTAAATTTAAAGTATTAGGTGCAGTACTAGAGTTGACGCTACTCACCTCTTACAACACGAACAATAAAAGCTGAAATGATGGATGAAGTGGGTTGGTCCTCTCTGCACGGAAAACGTACTTCAAGGCGCTGTCGCTTGGTGTACGGAAGTAGTGGAAGTGCGCAGAAACGGTATTCACCTGAATATATTTTTTATCTTATTACATGGACCCCATATGACACTTATTACACTGTGCGGATCAGAGCACTTTTTGCGATCTATTTGTTTCCTCATATTCAACATCCACTAAGGTTTCCGAATTTTTTCCGTCTGCTTGGCCGTACATTGAGGATTTTCGTTTTCGCTATAAATGGCCTTGAACGTTGGATTTTTTTTTTTGAGTTTTCGAATAGCCAGGATAGAGTGTTCCCACATAAGGTAGACAGCGTGAACCGTTTCTAGACAAGTCCTATAGCAATTTCCCGACTCCGAAGAGATGAGAGATATAGTGTATGCAGTGCGGAATCGAACCAGCATCTAAGTAGGTATGGCCATCCGCTTAAAGAACGAATCGCTCCTTTCTACTAAATAACAAAACAATTATTTTAGCTTGTTATTTATTGCCTACTCTTTTAATGGCAGGTTAGGCTGCGAAATATAACCTCGGTGATGCTGAGACATTTGCAAAAATCTGGATCGCAGGTGTTTGCAGTGGGGAACGAGACCATCATTGAACAGAATGACTGTTTCATAACATTAAAGTTCATTCCATCTAGGGTCAGAGCAGACTACTTTTTTCCTTGATAAAAAAGGATTGCACTGATTGCACTCACCTGCGCTTTCGTCAGTTATCAAGCGAAATCAACTGGGTGAAAGTAAATTCTCACTTTGCGCTTGTGGGATGTCTGGATATCTGGTTTGTTCATTTGTTACAACGACACGATAGAGCCATATTCTGCATCTACGTGAGACCATAAATTCCTTCCTACTGTGCGCTTAGGAATGGTTTTCCTTAAGACGCTTCACAGGCCTGCTCGTTCAGGTTCTTGACATTACAGTGCGTGCGACAACGTCCCTTCTGATCTTTCATCTGCTTACACACTGTGCAAACTGCCGAGGAAGCCCTAATACACAACAAAAAAGGGCATAACCAGATATCTTTTAGTTACTTCATCATAGCCTTAACTAATGTATTCCTAAACCGCTCACTTCCTGTCTAATTCTGGAGTTAAGTCGCTCATCACATTTTGCTACCGGCCGACACAGGCACTCATGAGTGAAAAATTTGGGTAATCTTGTCGTCTAATCACAAATATTTACCAGAACACTCAAGAGGAACAAGAGCAGAATGAGGAACAAGGCATTTCTTACGTGTAAGTTGTAGGGTATCCAACCAAGTATCCAACATTTTCTTACGCTTTGTCAATATAAACCCAAATATCTCCTGTACATTTATTTCAATCCGTCCCTTATTCTAAGCACTTCATAAGCGGAATCCGCAATAAACGTGACAGAGTTTGCCTGCAGGGAACAATCAATATTATTCGAAAACAACGCTATACCTTCTAGTTCAGTTGATTTCATGAATTCGGATAAACGATTTCATGCATAGATTGTACTTTGATGGCCCGTCCTCACAAAAGGCGGGTGTATGACCACATCTTATATTTGTTTCGCTGTAATGCAGCCACAGAAAACCGAATACTTACTGTATGGGTTCCGTTGGAATATGACGGTGTAAGTGAATGAGTTCAGCACTCAAATGTTTCGGAAATAGAAAAACCTGGGAAATTAACGAAAGCCTTGTGCTGATGTAATAACGGAATTTCATCATTAGTTTATGCTCTGCAATTCCTTTATGGAACATGAAGTAGAGCAGAAATTAAGCTCACCAAGTCTCTCACCTCCGTGGGTCGAAAAATTGGTAGAAGACTTGTCCGAGTGCAGCTCACTCCCTCGAATCCAATTGGGGAACCCTCCAGTACGGCTATCTTAAGAGCATAAGGGAAAATTAAATTGTTGACCAGCATTCAACGGCATTCGTGGACGAAAATCAATTTGCAGCGGAACGCACACGCGAGTAGTTCGAAGATCTTCGTGGACAATGGATGGATGGGAAACGAATCATATACAAGAAGTGCTGTGATCTGCGTAGTAGATGCAAATTCGGGTCATGTAAAAAAGGAAAAAAGAAAATTAGGCCTTGGAACCTCTATATGGAACATGTCCATGGAGAAAGCACGGAATAAGTAGGAATTTTCAGGTTTTTTTGTTAGTACTCCATTCTTTTCGTCCAGAACCGTGCTCGCTTACTACTCACTGTGTAATGCAGCCGTAACATTTGGAGTTCCCGATTTCACAGGAATGAAATCATTGAGAAGTTTTTCCGTCACATTTTCTGATATAACAATTTTTGATCTAAAGAAACTTTGATTAGACCAGATGGAAAACAAAGCATTTCCTAGTGAATACAGGGAACCAAAGTTTCCAATCACGGATTTATATCGATTTCGTAATGAAACCATCGGTTATCTAAATAAAGAATTACTGCAAGTACTCACCCTACAATATGAGTATATTGGGACGACACGTTGTAGAACATCATGGCATTCTCAAGCGCCTTTGGAATTCTAAATTTTCGCAAAGGAAGCCCTTTATCCTAAAAACAGACTTAAATCTTTATCACCATTAAGGGACCATAGATTCCACAGTGCCCTGATTTCAATGGATATTCTTTCCGTTTTTTTTTCTCAAGGAGTTTATTTGCCGCGTTTGTATTTAGTCGATAGCTTCTTGAAAACAGATCTCTGCACTCCATTTTAAGGGTTATATCTTGCGCTTTCCCACACGATGTTTTTACTTGAACCCAATGACTTCAGACCGATTGGAATAGAGCTTCCAAAGTAGAAATTTTCCTATCTATTTGTTTTTGTTCGAAATTGGACACGCTTTGACTATAGCAACTCGAAATGTCATCAAAAAGAATCTGGAGAGTGCATCTGAGTGCAGCATGTGTAGAAGATTTCAAGAGTTCCGCGTCGAATATATTAGTTTTCATTATGGAGAACGTTGCGAGCTAATTTATCAACAGTTGGCGACGAATATCTGAAATTGATCACTGAAGCTGCCCCTTTAAGAGCCAGACAAAGGGTTCAAGAAGAACTCAACGTTAAACGATTAACAATCATTCATCAACTACAACAATGCTAAGATATTTGCAAAACTCCAGATCGCAGATGTCTGCGGCGGGGAACGAAAGCGCTATTATTCTTTCCGGGTGCTAACGTGTTCACCAGCACACCACTAGCTTATAGACAGGCGAAATGAACGACCTGCATGGTGTAATGGTGAACGGGTAAGTTCCCGGAAAGGACAATAGCGCTTTCGTTATCCACCGCAGACACCTGTGGTCAGGAGTTTTGCATATATCTCGGCATTAATGTGATTGTACAATACATAATACCTTGCCGTGAGAAATTATAATAAGCAATAAATAAGAGGTTATACTAGTTCGTCATTTAGAAAAAATTAAAAACGGCAAAAGTTGGATAAATGAGAAATCAGAGAAAGTCGAGGAGAACCCAGTGATGGGCACACTCATCGACTACCCTAGGATATAGGACCGATTACATTCTCGATGTTACTGTGTACTGTGGTGCAAAACGGATGCTCTGAAGGGTGGAGGTTTTGCACGGTGATTAGACACGCAACTACTAAATACTTTCCAAAATCGAATTTCAAAGACTGTTGACGACTTATTGTTATCGACGGGTAGAATCAACAACAACAGCTGCCTAAATCTAGACTAAATTCCACTCAACCCCCTCGCCAAAGCAGTCAGAAAACCGTTGCTTGTAGCCTAGACATATGAAGGAATTATGCTGCACCAAAATAACCAGCCACATATGACACAAAGGACGCTACAGAAGTTGGACATGTGCGGCTACGAAACTCTGTCCTACCCAGTGTTCTTACGGAACCTTTCTCTGAATGACAACCTCATAAAAACTGCAAACGTAAAAGAAGTGCAACAACTGAAGCGCTGCTGAGAGTACGTTTGAGAGATTCGTCTCATGCAGAACTAGAGAAATATTGTTGCAGGAATAAATAAACTTCTGTGCTGCTAGCAAAAATGTGCCGATCTCAGCTAGTGTTATATTTCTTCATTTTTAATCGAAGTTTTATCCACGAAACTTTATTTAGCAGAGTTACAGCATTTCTAATTATTGTCCAAGAACGTTTTCTTCCACTTTAACATACTAACCAGACCTTGCTGTCCTGCACTTTCCTGCAGTTTATCGCCTCATCGACGTTACACGGTATTCTGGAGTCCCGAACTGCGATGTATTAGGTCGTTCGGAAATCAGTGTTGGGTTTGTACTTTCAATTCTTTTTGCACACGTTTTAGCAACAGTGATGTTCTATTACATATCAGTGCAGAGCTCATTTTACGTACATGCTTTCATGTAAACGAATTGCAACATAAATTGTTTTCGAGAAAGTTTAAAGGCCAAGATGCCGAGAAAGCACTGTCGAGAAATCTACTTGTACCAATTCAAACTTGAACGCTTGCAGCTCAAACGGCTCTAAACACTAATGACATATGGGATCAAAGAGGTGTTTTGCCTAGTGCATCGCTGGTTTTAAGAAAATCGTCGTGACGAATTCGAACTTGAAGTTGAAGGACGTTGGCGGGCATTCTTTATTATTGTGAAGAAATTATTTTTTTATTCTTTATTTATTTTTTATTGTTTTCTTTATTATTGTTGATGATGAAGTGAAACGTTTTTTGGAAGCTATACGCACGCAGCTGTTCAAGAACTTGCATACTCGATTTAAGCATCTCAGCTATTTCGAAGCATTTGAAGAAAAATGGAAAGTCTATGAAGCTCGAAAGATAGATGCCTTATGAATTGAACGACAACCAAAGAAACCATCTTTTAAAGTATCGTTAGCTTTTTTTCTGCGCAACCGAAAACTCCTGTTTCACAATCGTATTGTGACATTCGACGCCAACTGGATCCTGCGCGACGACTGGACCAATGGATGGAACTCTATGATGCCTCGCTGCACTTCCCAAAACCGAGATTACACCAGAAGAGGTCATACTGACCGTTTGGTGATTTAATGCCGGTCTGATCTACCACAACCTTTCTGGATCTGAATGAAATGACTACGCTGAAGTACGCCCATCTTATAGACGGAATGCGCCCTCATCGATGCATCGTACAACCGATGCTGCAATAATTGAGCCAGATGGGCTATAAAGCTCGCCTCATCCAGCGTACTTGCAAGACCTCTCAACTACCGCCTGCCACTTGATCAAGTGTTTCTACAACTTCTACTGTGAGGAATGCTTCAGAAAAAGGCCGTAATTGTCTCCAACGAATTAGTTGACTATGGAAGGTTTATGTTCGTTGTAGAGTCCAATTACGAAATTACTGATGCAAAGTTTAGTAACTCGATGAATGACGAAATCACAGGAGGCACTGGTGTCAAGAAATTTTAGAGAGCATGTACACTCTCATGTACAGCTCTCAAAAAACCAAAAAATATACCCACGTTAAGATTTCCACCTTGGAACAGCCAGTTCTTTGCTTTTCCCCTCTTTGTAGCTCCAATCTTCCAAACGTTTTTCAGTGACGAATTTTTGAAACCTCTGACCAGATCAATATACCCTTCCATATACTTGTACCGACTTCTGAAACAAACAAGGGGTTACCTGTAGATATTTGAACCAAAAATATGCACTTATAATCCTACTTACCGAAGAGACTAGAAACATGAACGAGAGGGAGAATAACAAGCATATTGTCAGGCAAACTTTCAAAGTAGACCTAACCTTAGTTTACATGTAGAAGGTGGCATGGTAACTGCACACTCTTCAGTGATATGCCCAAGTCGGAAGCTGTTCGCCTAAGAAATCGTTTAAACAGTCTTTATCTACAGGTTACTACATTCAATATAATTATACTTCCGAGCACAACGCTAGTTTGAATTAAACTGATGAGAATCATCTTAAGCGTGCCAATCCATACGATTAATCCTTTCCATTTCAAAAACCAATGTTTCTTGTCTTTTATGGAGTAAGAGGAACTTAGAAATTTCGCCTACTAATGCCTCCCTTCTTTGCATATAGTAGAACATTGTTGAAATTGAAGATTGTGGAGTAACGGAGTATGGTACAAGTAAAGCTAAGCACATCACTCCAAACAGCATTTGCCTTTGAATATTGAACCCCTCAAGGGTTGCCTCTCTGAAATAATTACTTTGAATGTATTTGGACCTCCTGGAAGCAAAATGGCGTACCACTATCAAGAACTGGGTACAACTAAGTGATACAAAGTGCACACTAACGAAAGATATAATAAAGATTTCATTTGCTACTTCGATGATTGCATTGCGTTGTTCTATTCTCATGTTGAGGTCTATGTTCCTCGAAAAGGTACAGTTAAAACTTAACGTTGTTTGATGTTTCGTAAAATCTCCTTCGCGCTACAAACGAGGAAAAGTTTCTTAAGTAAGGAAGCATAAACTGAAGTTACGAACTTCTCAAACTTCTTCGTACAGCTTAGAGAAATTCCTTTGCTGTTTTTCTTACCAAGAAATTCACGAGTATAACGTTGGATAAACTTCACTAACTAACATGAAACCAGTTATTCAACGATACTCGGCGATGGGAACTAAACTGAGCAAGAGGTTTAGGAGAAATTATCGGTTGATTATGATGTTGAAATATTTGCAAAACTTGGACTCCAGTATAGATTCGATCTCCGCAATTACCTTCTCTAAAGGCCTACGTCTTACCCACTGTAACGCTGAAGCCTTTGCTTTGGCTTCCCGTCTACCAGTTTTCTACCTAACGGTGCCATCGGCAACCACCCGTTAGCAGGAATGATCTGAGCACAAATCGGCATTGGACCTAGTTAAGCTGAGGGCGGAGTCGAAATCACAATGTACCAGTTTTTATCTAATGCCCATCATTTTGTTGGTACACCTTGTAATATTTCCCAGGATCGACTTTCTCTTAACCTCGGCATTGGAATATGAATGCGTCGTTTTCTTGTTCAGCAATCGCGAGGTTTTTTAATAGCATACATTTACTTCCATAGAGAAACACAATACAATACAACACTAGCTGACGTTTCGGCAGTCGTCAACCATATGCGACTATAATCAGCTGTTCTAAACCTCCTCATTGGAAGTCACGAAAAAAGAGGCTCTGAAGAAGGCGATACTGCCGAGACGTCAGCTAGTGTTGTATTGTATTGTGTTTTTCTATGGAAGTAAATGTATGCTGTTTAAAAACCTCGTGATTGCTGAACAAGAAAACGACGTCCATCATTTTTTCACGGCAGGGAATTATGTGGAATCCTCGTTAGGGTAAAAAGTTTGTTGAATAAAAGTTAAAGCGAGAACCTCAGTAGTACTACAGTACGTACACACTACACACACGTACTACACACGATGGTCTGCCGTGAAAAACTAACGGGCAGTGGATAGAAAGTTGTATGTTGTGATATCGACTCATTGCAACTAACCTTTATATTTCGAAATGTAAATAGTTAAAAATGTAAAACACTCCGTGGCATAAGTGGAGAGAAGGCTGAGTTATTCTGTTAACTTACTTCATTAGTAGACTGCAGTCAAAATCATCGCTCAAGATTTGCTGAGCTATCCTTGATGTCTCAAACGAGAACGTCATATTTTGAAGCACCTATGAAGTGGAATTACGATTAAGAAGAGCAGGATCTTTCATGAGCTTTAACAAACCCACTGAACTGTGGTCTAAACAAGGACCTTTGACACAGATGTGCTAATGTTCGAATAATGAACGTATCCCAAGAGGATATCAATGACAAGTACAACGATGACGAAGTTACCCAGCAACCTGCAACAGATTCGCTTTTCATTCTATTATACAAATGAGCTTGAAGTTTTTACATTTTGAAAACTGCCGCATATGAGGCATCCCACAATTTTTTCCTTCTCACAAGCTAGTCATTTTCTAGAAATCTTCCCGCTCACAGGTTACGCTCTCATATTCTTTACTCTCACATTTTTCTAGCCTCCTTGCAATCCATATATTATAACGTTTTAAGAAAACCATTCATACTTATTAATCATCTTTGCTGTTGCTCAACTGTCATATAGGCATGAGCAATGTAGTAGCACTATGATGTAATATACGGACACATGTAGCACAGTGGTTAGAGGTGCCCTACAACACACTTTCGATCTGCCACTGGTTTGATCACACGCCCCTGTTTCACCAATCCCTGCCTCTCTCTGGGGTCTGCAAATTTGTACCAGACTTTTCTGAGAGGATAGAAGCACTGATATGATACGTTGGTTAACCACCGCAAGCCATTGCAAAGCCAGATTCGAAGCCTTTACGAAGCCATGAATGGAGTCAAGTGCATGGCGTATCTTTTGGGGATTGATTAACGCTGAGCGCCTCAACTTCGATGAAATATGACGTATATGTCATGTTTTTTGAGCTCCCATGAATGCAACACTTAAGACGCTCACACCGTTTTCGAACAATGGAACGACTCACAGATTCCCTTCGGCATATTCATCATCGAGCCTTCTTTCGACATGCCTTACGCTAGGTTCCTTGTTTGGATCGGATTCGCCTATAGAAGTTGCAAAGCGCGCAATGTCTTGTTCCTATTAATAAGAATACGTCGTTTTCTTGTTTAGCAATCGCTAGGTTGCAATACAATAGTAGCTGACGTATCGGCAGTATCGCCTTCTTCAGAGCAGCTTTTTTCGTGACCTCCAATAAGGAGGATTAGAACAGCTGATTGTAGTCGCATACTCGCATACTTGCAATACTGCCGAAACTTCAGTTACTCTTGTATCGTACTGTGTTTTTCTATGGAAGTAAATGCATGCCGTATAACAACCTCGCGACTGCTTAACAAGAAAACGACGCATTCCTATTCCAATGCCGAGGTTAGTAGAATGTCGATACTGTGACCTATTAATAAGCATTTCTGTGGTGCATTGGAATGCTCTCGAACTTTTTGAATAACCAGCGGAATGTGCTCGAGTAAATTCTGTGAGGAATTAAAAGCTCGAAAGAATCAAACACTGGTTCGGCATTTCTGCATAAGGAGAAAAATGAAACGCCTATTTAACTTACATCTGTTGTGTCTGTGCTCTGCTGAAGTATATTCTTCAAAGCTGCCTACAATCAAAATAATTTTAGATATGTGAAAGAGTGAAGGTAGTTGCGACGCCTAATCGCAAATGTTCATGCATCTATAAGAATTTCTAAAGAGTGAAAGTACTGCTTATACCCTATTAGTGTATTTTCTACGGCAATGCCAAAGACTCGGGGAAGCGCACTCATAGCAGGGTCTAAGGCAGTTACGACGACACTGACGATCTGGTGTACACGCGAAACAACCTAACACAGAGAAATAGAGTGGTGATTTTTATGTATGGGATCCGAAGCTCCGATCTGTGTCAACGATCAAAAATCAAAGATGCCGTTCTGTACGCCAAACAGTCGAAGATAAGATGGACGGGACACGTATTGCGTATGAATGACAACCAATGGACAAGGGCCTTTGGTGACTGGATTTCTCGGTATGTCAAACGTACTGCAAGAAGAGCACCGACCCAATGGTCAGAGTTCTTCACAAAGAGCCTTGAAGAAAGATATGATGCTCGACGAGTCCCTAGAGCGAGCAGAACTCATTAGGCTACTCTTGCACGCGGCAGGGAAAAATGGAAGATTTACTGGCGTCCGCTCGAGTCATTCGACGATCGACGGGACTACGGGTGATACAGGCTATTATATTCATACTTATTCAAGAAAAATTAAAATGCAAGAAAAAATTGTAGTGAGCACTTCATTTATTTGAAAGGAAACATACGTGAACTCTGCCCTTTGGCAGCGTGATCAGGATGATAGACACGACGAACTTTCTTAGAGAAACCGCGGCTGCTTTCAGCTGAATGACAGAAAATTGGCAATAGAGCAGGGAAAACCCCAAGTATAGGTGTAGAAGAAAGAGCAGAGAAAACTCGAAGTGTAGATGTAGGAGGAGATAAAGTCGAAAACTAGAAGGACACAAACTAGAAATTTTTCTGGTAAGAGGTTAAGGTTTCGGGTAAAAAGTGTCAATATGATGTGCATACTGGGAATTCCGAGAAATGTTCACCATATACGATGAGTTCGATTCATCCAGTCACCAGTTTAGACATAGATTTCTTATACTTTCTGGATTATTAAGCTAACACAAGGTTGATATATAGCTTTATTCGGCTGGGTTTTGGAAACTTCATGTTCCCGCTAGCCAATAATCTATCGAGGAAGACGAAAACGTCGGAAAGTTATCTAAACAATCCTTTTATCAACCTCGCATTAGCTTAACAACACAGAAAGATATTGACCATTAATGCCGGGGTTAAATGAGGACCGGTTTGAAAAGTATACATGGCTTATTTTTATTCTTATGGTTTTACTATATCAGACTTCCTTTTACTTCAGCTACCTAGATATTTGCTACGCCTTTCTTTACAATTCGAGCGATCCGTACACACTCCGCAATCGTTTCGTTCTATCGAGATCTTCGCCCATGGTGGTGATCTGCTTCCATTTCCAGTCACGAATGCACTTAATTGACGCGAGCCGGGAACACGTCCGCGCAACTAGTAGGTCTGCCTGCAGAACGCTTGTGTCTTCTTGTTGTTCACTTTGCTGCTCTTCTCGTGCATCTCTCGTGAACTGTTTTGATTACATGATTGCATTATGTTTCTGAAACCCACAGACCTATTTAGGTCACATTCAGTGTGTTAGCGTGAATTTCCATGACCTGGTAATTACCTAAGTTTATACTTTTTCGGCTTGCTTAGCATTGCGTAATTTGGTTATAACTCCAAAGATATTCATCAAGTCTTCTCTTCTACGTCGAAGGAATTCGTGACGTGGTTGAAGTACAACCCACGTCTTGGTTGCATATCGCCGTCCTGGAATCCATGGCTTTTTTGGAACACAATGAACTTTTCGTTCTTCATGTAGCTTACCATGCTCGTGACGCAAGCAAAAAAGTCTCTTCCTCTTCGTCAACGAGCGCATCACTTAGAATGCTATCAAACGCTTTGCCTAGTCGACAGAGGCTAAGACAAGGCCACATAAATATTCCCTACAGAAATCTAAATTTCGTGCTATGTCTGTGGTCCATTCATTGGAATCCTTCTCGAAATTCTGCTTTCCTAACTTCTTCCTCTCTCCTCCACCCCAACCTTCAAAATCTTCAACATGCACAACAGAATAATTCCTGTGAAAAGCTTATGAACTAAATTAGCAAAAGAGCCATGATTACGAAGATCGCGTGGATCATGGTTGTTGGATGCAATGACAATGTGGGGAACTTTTGCCTGATTAAGGATCCTGTCATCTTAAAAGTATAATAGAAAATAAAGATAAAATTAAATATCACTGTAAACGGGCGCAGTGGTCTGAGGCACCCTGGAATAAACGTGGGATCGATTCCCGCGTCCCTGGCCCAACAAGCCTTCCATCTCTCCGGGCTCGGCAAATTGGTACCAGATTGGTCTAGGAGGTTGGCAGCGCTGGCTCGATACATTGGTAGGTCATCGCGAGTCATTGTAAAAGGCCAGATATGCATTCAATCTCCCCTAAACGATGCTTAGTGAAGTTGAATGCATGGCGCATTCCTAATGAATTTATCAGCGCCGAGAGCTTTATTCTTTTTTTAAACAGAGAGGAAGGTGCATGTAGTTTATTTTTTCCAATTCTAAGAGGATTGCCTTTAAGGCTTTGACCACCATCTAATCTTGGAGTTGTTCCTTTCATTGTGCGCTTGATCACATCTTGGACTTCATAGGGCTGCGAAAGCATAAAACTTGTTCCCACCTGACTTGATGCGGGAGCCGACATGATACGTACGCGACCTCATCTCATCTTACTTCACAAGCAATGAACAACTCCACGTAATTTAATCAAGCGGTAGTCAACATGATTTCGCTGATATCGACAAGCTGTACAAGGTGACTACCAACTTAGGCACTCTTGTTGGCACCAAGAAGAAATTCAGACATTTATGAACTCGTTGATGTGATCACGTCGTTCCTCATCAGAAACGCCATCTCACATTTCCAAAAGGGCAAGTGCGTTTTTTTTTTGACTGCTTAAATCTAAATGTTTCTATGCTTTCTTGCAGCACATCTTTTGATATAGCATCATGCCATGATTAGCTCTGATTGAACTAGCCCAATCAATAAAGGGAAATGGGTCCATAGGTTCCGACTGACAATAAACCCGCCTCTACTCCTCTTGGCGCTTCCAGTCCAACCTATAGTATTAAGGGGTAGGTAGAGTTATATACTATCATATCACCTAGGAAGAAATTACCACACTTTTGCAGATATTTCTTTATTCACGGACTGTGCTGACTACGTGTCACTCCGTGTTCGTGTTAACTAATCAATCGTGTCATAATCACTAAGTAAGTGAGTAATCACGCATCAGAATGCTTAGAAGTGTCATGCAATGCACATCTGCCTGTTGATTGGTTCCGTGTCCTGCACTCACCACGGCTCTTTTCTCTACTGGATCCACAACAGTATCACTTTTAATTACAATCTTAACCGTTTTATTTACTGCTTATTCTTTTTAATGGCAAGGTGTATTGCGAAATATAACCTTAATGATGCCGAGATATT